GGGGGGGCGGGGGGGGGGGCCGGCTACCACATCCCTAAAAAGTCACGCGTTATGATCAACTCGTGGGCCATCGGGCGTGACAAGGACTCGTGGGAGGACGCAGAGTCCTTCAAGCCCTCTAGGTTTTTGAAAGAAGGTGTGCCGGACTTTAAGGGGAGCAACTTCGAGTTCATTCCGTTCGGGTCCGGTCGGAGGTCGTGCCCGGGCATGCAGCTCGGGTTGTACTCGCTGGAGTTGGCGGTGGGGCATTTGCTCCACTGTTTTACGTGGGAGTTGCCTGATGGGATGAAACCCAGTGAGCTCGACATGAACGACGTGTTTGGACTCACCGCTCCCAGAGCGAGTCGACTCATTGCCGTACCGAGTAAAAGGGTGGTTTGTCCACTGTGATGATCTCATGACGAGGATGAGAAAAACTTGGTGTCCCAAAATTTCAAGTATACATAACAATGAAACGGCGACGCACAGGTAAATTGCGGGGTTTTTTTCCTTTTTTTTTTTTTTTTTTTTTTAAAATAAAATAAAATTGAATTTTCTATAAATAAAATCCGATTTTTTTTTTTTTTCAATAAGTAAAACCCAGTGACTAGGATTCAACCAAGCAAGTTGTTTGGCAAAAAATAGAAAAAAAAAAGGTAAGTTTGGAAATGGTGGACCCTTTGTGGTTCTAGTTGTAAGAAGAATCCCATAAATAAAAGATAGAATGCCATAAGGTTGTGATTGATTTATGGGAAAGGAGGCGCCTAAGAACTAGTTGTTAATGTCTGAGAGGCCTTCATTAGAGAAATAATTAACAGTTAGACTATAATTAACTTAAAATCCTGGCATTGCCCCTTCGATCATCACCTAATATTCTTTGGAACACATCTTGACCAGTCTATATGGATCAAGCACAACAGCTTTATATTGATTTTAATCGGCCATGAAAAGGTCGCAAAGAGCCCCCCATCTTCTTCCAACTTTCAATTGACATGCAGAGGAACTGGAAATTAAATGTTCTCTTAAGCATGACTTAAGCATGACAACTAAGCATGACTTAAGCATGACAACTAATGTAATATTAAATTTCGGACCAATGCATGCTTTCCATTTTTCCCATAAAAAAAGAAGAAAACAAAAACTTCAGGCCACTGCATGCTTTCCCTCTTTCCCATAAAAAAGAAAGAAAAACAAAATTTCTAGCCACTGGAACTCCTACACCTAATCACGACATGTATTTCAGTTGAGGTCCCTGTACTATAAAGCTTGAAGTCCCTATACACCTAATCACATCTTGATCTGAGTTTCTTCTTGTCAATTCCAGTAGCTTTTCTGTTGCATTCTTAAATGGAGATCTGTTTCTCGCACATAATTGCTTTTCTCACCGTAAGCTTGTGATTTGAATATTCTCTACGATTTTATTTGAACCTTATAATTATTAGTTTCAAATTTTATTTTTTTCCATACCAATGACAGTTCAACTTCAAATGTTGCAGCTCACACTGGTGGCAAGGGCAAGCTATGCTGCTGCTGCCAGAGACACCACCTCAACTTTACCACCTCAACTTCACTACTGGAACTCCGTCTTGCCAGGCACATCAATGCCAAAAGCTCTCAGTGAACTCGTCCAACCTGGTATGTGTTTCTATTTACACATACCATGCTCTAGAGTGCCAAAAGCTCATCTTCCAACATTCTACTTATAAGCTAGCTTCTTCAATAACATGTCCATCATTTATGTTGCCCATTAATACTGCAGACTCAGTTGAGCCACCCAAGAACTTTGTCGGTTACAACCAGCACGGTGTCGAGGACAGAACTCTCTCCGTCTACACCCAAGACGACGATACGCACCTCAAAGACCCAACCCAAAGAATTTTCTTCTTGGAGATGGAAATAAAACCTGGCACAACCATGAAATATAGCTTGGGTAGAAATATAGCAGGGGAAACTTTCCTGCCCCGCAAAACTGCAGAATCGATCCCCTTCTCATCCGCCAAACTGCCAGAGATTCTCAACAAATTTTCTATGAAGCCGGGGTCTGTGGAAGCCGCTGTAATTCAGGAAACCATTCAAGATTGTGAAAGTGAAGTCCTTAGAGGAGAAGACAGATACTGCGCCACCTCCTTGGAGTCGATGGTTGATTTTGCCATGTCCAAGCTGGGAAGAAACGTTCGAGCAATCTCGACAGAGGTCGAAAAGGGAGCCACCCTGCAGAACTACACAGTAAAGCCAGGCGTGAAGAACGTGAACGAAGGTGGCAATTTCGTTTTGTGTCACAAGCTGACCTACGCGTATGCTGTCTTCTTTTGCCACACATTTGGACAAACTAGGGCTTATGCGGTGCCTCTGCAAGGTGCTGACGGAACTACCGCTAACGCAGTAGCAATCTGCCACCTGGACACATCTGCATGGAACCCCCAGAATCATCCCTTACAAGAGGTCAAAGTTAAGCCAGGAACCGTCCCGGTCTGCCATTATCTTCCCCAGGGTCATATTGCTTGGGTTCCAAACTAGAAAGAAATATCGTACCCTTTGTCTTTGTGGTTCTAATTGTAAAAGGAATCCCATAAGAATGGGCTAGCTACTATTGTATCCGCTCTAATATAAATAAAAATCAATTAGAATGCCCTATAAAAATGTGGAGTTTAGCCATCGCGATTGGTTGGAGATAGTAAAACAGTGTTATCCCAATTCAAGTGTTTCTCAATTTTAGCATACGGCAAGAAATTTATTTAAGTATTTTTATTTTTGTGTGTGTCAAAAGTTAGGAAGGGAAAAGGGAAAAACTCACACACGCATACCACAGGAGTTTGAACTTATGACTACTTGAAAGCACACCAAAAACCTGGGTCAATCCAACTAACACCCCATTGGTATTTAAATATTGTTCAATTGACAAATATGAAAATCCTTCTAGTATATTACATGTAAGAGAACATAAATACTAGCTTATGAAGGAGCCAACGGGGCCTAGCCCGCTTGTATTAAACAAAAAAACAAAACAAAAAGAAGAAGAAGCTTATAAAGGTAAATAGTCCGATATAACAATTTCAGGTTTTCATGCAAAAGAAAATTGTACAGTAAAAATAAACAAAAATCAATGATAAGTAAAAGTATCTACAATCATGCTATCTATTTTTTAGTTAAAATTTAGCTAAAAACATATAAAATCTATTTTATGAGCTCTCTATAAACTTTTTTAACTCCAATCAAACTGTCTAGTTTAGGGAGTCATAAATGCTATAACTATTTTTTAATTGGTTCATCTCTATATTAAAAAAATAATTAGCATTAATTATGATTTCCACCACCACATCCGTAACTGATTTAAGTGTATTATTAATGAAAACTCCTAATATAAGCAATGTGTCTTCTAATATAATTAACAAGCATTAATGAAAGTTCCTAACTTAAGTGATGCATGCTTTCTATTTTAATTAAATTTTGTTAGAGACTTATCATTTAAAAACCTAAATCGTCATAATTCATAACCCAACTTCTTTCCATGGAAATATTAACCACAAATATAAAGTGAAGTTCCCTGAATATATGAAATATTTATCATCAGAACATTTTGAAAAGAAAAGCTGCAAATTGACTAGAAAACATGTCCGAGAACATTTCAGGCCTTAATAGAGGGGCCGTTTTGTGAGAATATATGTTTATTAATAATCACAGCATGCAAATTATGTTATTTATAAATCAAACAAGTTGAGAGGTTACCTTGATATACACAAACCCATGGAATCGGCATGAACCATATGATAGCAGAAGAGTTGGTTAGAATTTTTAAAAAAAAAACTTAGAAAGATGAGAGATTACCCACTGAAATCGATAAGGTTACCTCATGATGCAGAGTGTAGTGAGACTTGCTACACAAACCCATGGAATCGGCATGAACCATGATAGCAAAAGACTGGTGAGGCTGGTTCAAGTGAAAATCGATTACGTGCATTTGAAAACCATAACAGGGGTTGGTCAGAACTTTAAAAACTTAGAAAGATGACCAAAGTACCCAGTGAAATCGATAAGCTTACCTCACGCAGTTTGTAGGGTTTTGCAACTTTGTTAGAAGGTCGATAAATTTGAGAAAGCAATCCGTGCTTAATGAGAGAGCTAAATCAAAAGAGATGAGAGTTTTGCACTGAGGAGAAAGTGAGATAGAAACTGAATTTAGAGTAAAAGAGGAAGGGGGGACCAAAAGGGAAATTAGGAGGATTGGCACGTGAAAGATTAGTAAATGCGTGTCGAGGTGGAGAAGGTCTTGACTCTTGGTGCCGCGGTTCGATCAAGCTATACATGCTAGGGTCTCACAAGAAAAGGGATCCTCTGGATTTGGGGTGGAATCAGTGTAAGGCCGGGCGAAACCCCAATACATGAGTCTTCCTTTTTAGTGAATGGTCGAAGTGTGATTATCACATCAAATTGCACAATCAAAGGCTTTCTGGTCAAAATGGGACTGTCACATTAGACTACGTCATCAAAGACTTTCTTGTCAAAATGAGACTATATCGCATTAAACTGCGCCGTCAAAAACTTTCTTGTCAAAATGGAACTATCTGTGACAATATAGTAGCGTAAATGTAAACAAAATTTGTTATGTATAAGTTTTTATTGTCAAAATGCGACGCGTTAATTCAAATATATATATATATGTATATTAATAAGATGTGCTAATTCTGGATGCTTGAGAATGAGAAAATTCTCAATAGGGTAATTCCATGAGCAAAGATAGAATTGTATGTATGAGATGGCCAAACCGATATTGAAGATTTAAAATAAAATAAAAATCAATCTTACAATAGTAAATAATATACAGACAAAAAAAGGAAAGTTTAAAAAGTTTGTCCTCAATTTCATGTATCAAAGTGGAAGAGTCTATAGAAATCTCGTTTTTTTGGCAAGGTTGTTATTTTCATTTATTTGTTCGCTCTTATGCATAGGTAGATTGTTAGAATTCATATTTTTTCCAAATCTGTTACGGATGTGGTGGTGGATGTGACTGCGGTGGTGCTTCTTCAGGTGGTGGTGATAAGGTTCGTTTAGGCTCATGTGTTGTTTTAGGGTTTTGATTATGTTGGATTTGTGGGCTTTGTTTGGGTTTGTGGTTAATTTGGTGATGTCGGCTAGTAATTTTAGTGCGGCTTTTGTCCGCGTTAGTTTGCTTTTAGCATTTTAGTTTGTTGCCCTCTTGGGATGCACTTTAGATGTCTTGTGATGTCTTTGATTGTACCATTGAAGTTTATCTAATAAAATTTCTCTTTGATTAAAAAAATAATTTAAAAAACTAGATTGTCCTAAGGGTGGGCAAAAGACCAACCAATCGAAACCAGTTAGATCATTGTCCTTCAGTTTTTACACACAAAAAAGTGTAATCTTTGATAGAGCAAAACTAAAACGCAATTTTTATTGTTACAATTCAATTTGCCCTACTTTTGGACCTCCAAAACTGAACCAAAGTATCTATATTAATTTTTTGTGTTAATGACAGTTTAATACCATGTGATTGCACTTGTTTATTTGCACACACTCAAATAGCTTCTTTCACAAGTGTAGATAACATTTAAAATTCCTTAAATTACCCCAACTTAAACAAATGCTGCTACAATCCAATTTAATAAAATAAGTATGAAGTACTAGTAGTTCATTGAATACTTAACAAATTTGAAAATAAAAATTAAAAACACTCTTAACGATATTATCCCACTATTATCAATTATTGTAAGTTTAGGGTTGTTTGATAATTATTTCAATTTTAGTTTTTAGATTTTATTCTCTGTGCTAGAATATAGAGGAAAATGAGAGTGAGAATGGAAGTGATGATGAGATTAAAAGGGAGGATGAAAGCTGCCCATAATTATAGGATAAAAATACAAAGGACTCGTAGCTCAAGTGACAAGAACATTTACTCGTGCACCTCATGTCTCTCCCCTCCATCTGAAATGTCCATTATAAAATTGCAATGGATGTTCATCCAGTTCTGTAGATTCTAAGTAAAATCTATAGCCCTTTCCTTGTAGTTTCCGATGTTTATGTCGTATCATCTAGGATGGATTGTTCGAAACTCGAAAGCTATGATTGATCAATGTGTATGTTCCCAGGATAAATGGCCTCCGAACCTGTCAATGTGAATGAGTTCCGAGAATTGGCTAGGCAAGTTCTTCCAAAAATGTACTATGATTTGAAGAGTACTCAGTTGAGATTTGCTTTCAGACACTGCTAGTTTTAACCTGCTCTTTATATTTACCACAGGAAAGGTCGCCACTGCTAGAGCAGCAGCAGCATGCAACACCATAATGGTATAATTGTAACATGTATTGAGCTAATACATGTGTAGTTAGGTTTTTGAATTGTTGTATTTTTCATTGTAGGTTTTATCCAACAT